GGCAGCGCCCGCAGTGGAATCGAACGGCACGCAGTTTTTTTTTGTGAAAATCACGTAGATTTTTCTTTTTGAGACATACGTCTTTTTTAGGGTAAAATCAAGCTTTATTTAGCAAAGTCCACAGAGAATGAGATACATCTTTGGTTATGGGGTTGGCCTAGCCAAATGTAACGCCCCGGACCTAAAGAAAATGCATGCTTGGCTAAACTATGTGCCTTAACATTAACGGCACGACCTTCAAAAATAAATTTACAACTTAAATTGAAAGATATGCTATGAACCTCCGAGATGATAGCACCATTCGTTCCACGACTTCTGTTATTGATAGCTCCGACTGCTCCCTTGGAGCCTGATGCAACAACCAGGCTCTGGATATTAAGATCCCGTGCCAACGCTAGCGCCTCCCTGCAGGCTATTGTTTCCAGAATTTTAGGATTGTCGACACCTGCAAGTACGAGTGCTGAACTTCCCAGGTATGCTCCCGTTTCATCGGCAAACAGCTGCCGCTGCGCCTCCTAGTCCCTTACGGCAAGCAGCATCAACATGAATCTTCACATGACCCGCCGGTGGTGCTTTTGGGCGTCTGATACTTGCATTGGCCACCCGAACAGCTTGCTGAGTCTGGTTAAGAGTAGGTGCAGCCAGCACGTGGAGATCCTGAAGATACCTGTTGATGAAACCATTGATGGTTTGGGGGCTTTGGAATAGACCTTCATGTATCGCTTTCCGACGCGCCGCCCAAATAGCCCAGAGAGTAACCGACAGCTTCATGAAAGACTCGTGCGATAATGACATCATGAGGGTAAACATCCATTGTTTAACTTTCGGTTCTGTGTTCGTTGCAAGGGTTTGTGCCAGTTCTTCATCAACAAGGGCCCATGTGCACATTGACATAGTGCATTCCAATAGGGAATGTCTCCATGAATCTGGGGCGCCGCAGATGCCACATGCGCTGGAATCTGACATGTGTCGGTGAGCCCTGACGTCATTAGTTGGTATAAAGCGTTTTGATAACCTCCAAAGAAACATGCAGACCTTTCCCGGTACTTCAGTTTTCCATAGTCTTTTCCACTGCACTTCGTCCATCGTCGTGTTGGAGGGCCCAACCCTGTTTTCCAACCACGCTTCGCGCCTTTGTCTTGTACTCACTAGCATGCGATATGCCGATTTGACTGAAAAGTTGTCGTTCTTCTCCTGGCTCCAGCTCCAAAAGTCATCCACATTCATTGTGCACAAAGGGATACCCAAGATAAGTTGAGCATCCATGTTCAGAAAGGTTGCTTGAACCCTCTGTCTATCCCACATAGCCGAGGTCATATCAATCAACTCCGAAACATAGGTCGGTGGGTCGTTTAGCAAATAGCCATAAGGCCTCATCATCTCAGTGCGGGGCAGCCAATTGTATTCCCAAATTCTCGTGGTCTCTCCGTTACCGATACGCCGGACCAAACCCTGTTTCAGGATGTCTCTACCTTCAAGTATTACTCTCCATACTTGGCTCGGGGTGCTGCCTAGTTGAGCATTTAAGATTGTTCCATTGGGGTAGTAAATACCTTTGAGCAAGCGGGAGCACATACTGTCAGGGTTCTGCAAGATGTGTCAAGCCTGTCTGGCAAGCATTGAGAGGTTAAACAACTCAAAATCTTTAAAACCCAGACCCCCGTTCCTTTTGGTTGAGTCATTTATTTCCATGATACCCAGTGAGGTTTCCTCTTCCCTCCTTTGCTACCCCACCAGAACTTCCTAATCAGCTTGTTGAAATGTTCACATAAGCCTTGGGGGAGTTTAAAACATGACATAGAGTAGATTGGAATCGCCTAAGCCACTGATTTGACAAGTACTTCTTTGCCTGCCGTGGACATGGTGGTCTCAATCCATCCTTGGACTTTGCTCCAAAGTCTATCTTTGAGGTACTTAAAAGAGCCATTCTTGCTGTTACCTATATCGGACGACATTCCAAGGTACTTTTCATTAAGGGTTTCATTAGGCACATTTAACAGAGTCTTTATATCATTCCGAACACTCTATGGAACCCCCTTGCTGAAATAGATTGATGACTTCATATTGTTTATTCTCTACCCCGATGCTTGACAATAATATTCCAGAACTTGGTTCACCTCAGTAGCACCCGCACTATTTGCCTTGAAGAGCAGCAGGCTGTCATCAGCAAATAAGAGATGGTTAACCGGTGGAGCCAACGGTGCCACCTGTAACCCCTCCAAGTTGGATGACTCCCTTCTCGATTTTAACAGGCACGACAGGCCCTCTACAGCTATTAAGAACAAGTACGGGGAAATTGGGTCCCCATGTCTGATTCCTCTAGATGGTTTAAAGCCTTCAAGCTTCTTCCCATTAAACAACACATAAAATTGATTGTGGTCACAAGGCTCATAACAATACTTACCCAGTTTTCGGTAAAGCCCAACTTTAGCATTATAGCCTTGAGGTAGTCCCACTCAACTCTATCGTAAGCCTTCATCATGTCTAGCTTTAAAGCACATGATTGGTGTTTCTTTGCTTTGTTCCTTTTTATAAAATGTAGACACTCATAGGCCATGATAATGTTATCAGTAATCAACCTGCCAGGTACAAAGGCTGATTGCTCCTCTGAAATTATCTCTGGTAAGATGAACTTAAGCTAGTTTGAAATCACCTTTGAAGCAATCTTGTAAAGTACATTGCATAAACTGATTGGCCGTAATTGGGACAAGAGTGTGGGATTTTTCACCTTAGGAATCAAAACCAGAGTAGTTTCGTTGATACTCTCTGGTAACTCTTTCCCCTCCACAATTTTAAGGACTACTTTGGTGACCTCATCTCTGCACACATCCCAATGGCGCTGAAAAAAGTGAGCTAGGAAGCCGTCGGGACCCGGTGCCTTTGTGGGGTACATTTGAAAAAGTGCGGTTTGACCTCCTGGGCACTGTACGGAGCATTTAAGCTATCGTTCATCGTTGCCGTGACCTTCCGAGGCACCGTGTCAAGGACCCTATCCATGTCCGCTGGAGGGACTTTATCAGGTTTTTTCTTCTACGACGGCTGGCCCGGAGGTGAAAAAAATAGGTATTTTTTATCCCCATGCATGAGCCATTCTATTCTAGCTCTCTGACGCCACAATATTTCTTCCTGATGAAAAAGTTCTACCAGGTTGTCCATAGTTTTTAATTCAGCCAATGAGGGACCAGATCTTCCTCGGGAGTCGCACATCTCCTGTAGCTGGAGCTGGAGCTAGCAAATCTTCAGCTTCAGGAAAATCGATACGTGATCTAAAGACGCAATCTCTTTGTGCTCGGTGATTGCGTCCGGGAAGGCAACGCACCAGGCCATGTTTGCAACGCATCTATCAAGCCGCACTTTAGTAAAAGTTCCTCCAGAAACTTTTTTCTCAAAGGTCTAGCTTCTTCCAATGTAACCGAGATCCGTCAAGCCACACGTGTCCAATGCATTACGAAAGGCGTCCATTTGGGCTTGGCTTCGGCTACCCACACCGTCATGCTCATGTGCTTGGAGTACCTCACTAAAATCACCCATCACAACCCAAGGTAGGTTGCTAGAGCCAACTATCCCCTTGAGCAAGTCCCAAGTTTTATACCGCTGATTTACTTGAGCCTCACCATAAACAAAAGTAGCTCTAATTTTTGTGTCAACCAGTTCATCAACGATCACATCAATATGATACTCAGAGCAACACACAACCTCAATCTTTATTTCATCATTCCAAAAAATTCCTAAGCCACCACTTCTACCACGACTGCTCACAGCGAAGCTTTTATTAAAACCTAATGCTCCTACCATATTGTCTACTCGAGAGCCCTCAATTTGTGTTTCAACAATACATAAGATTAAGATTGAGGGGGCAAGTTGCCTCGTGAGATCACGAAGCCTTCCTTTTTTTAGGCAATCCCACGAAGCTTTATTACGACGTCACAACGTTTATAGAGACGAAATAAAGATTTCCGGGGTGCCCTAACCAAATACGACAGCCCACCCCTAACTTAAGAGTATGCTTCACTAGATTGTGAGCCTCGAAATTCGAGCTCTTAAATTCATGGACAATATTACAAATAGTAAATGACCTATTGAACTCTATTATTTCATGTATTATCGCACCGTAGCTTGCCAAACACTGTTGCTTGATGTCGTCCATCACCACCTTGCAATCACGAAGCCCTCCTGACATACGTTTATTTTTTTGAGGGATTCCTGACATACGTAGAATTTGTTGTTTCCGGCTCTTTCGAATGTGGCGATCCCCTCCGGCCCATTAGGCCTGCCAACTGACAACTTTTCCATAGGGCCGAATTTATAAAGGCTCTCCTAGTCTCTTGGTCGTTTGGGCCCCCGATCCCTATCGTTCGTTTCTTAACCCCAGACCGCCGTTGGCCTCCTAAAAAAAAAAAAAGACAGACCGCCGTCGGCCTCCTCTCCCCCCCT